CTACCAGCTACTTAATTGAACGTTTGCTTCTGGGACTGAGCGTCAGGAAAAATAGTTTGCAGAAGATCTCCCCCGAGAGCAGGAGCGTTACAGGTTGCGGCTCTGCCTGCCGGCTGCTGCGCTCCCCCTCCGCCAGCAGCTGCGGTCACGTTAAGGGTTTAACGTGCCTGCGTTCGAGTGAGAATCGCTCTGGGAACGCGATGTGCTGCATACGGCAAAACGCAACTGTGAGAGCCTTTCCCCCCTCCCGCCTTGTATTAATTTGAGGACAAAAATGCTCCTTTCTATTTTTATGAATGGAAAAAACCCACGTTCTTCGTTAACCACCGCCTTCCTACTGGGTAATCCAGTGCAAGGCTCTGCGCTGGTTTTAGCGGGTTGATGCTACCCGAAGTCGTGTCCAAGGCTAGAGGCTACGTAAGGAGACCTTCCTAACGTTAACTCCAACTGGTTTTATCCCAACTTTCCGAGAGATTGTTCACTTTTCTCTAAGTTGTTTGGCCCCTTCGCTGCTGTGCCGCCTAAGCGCGGGGTGGGCGAAGCTGGCTGCGGCTCTCCCCGGGCCGCCTGGCGCCGAGCTTTACATTACCTCCGAAAAGCAGCGGGCGAAACGCGGCAGCGCTCAGTCGACGCCTCGGCTGAGCCCTGACGGCGGCTTTTCCTCCGCAGAAGCAATTTGGAGTAAGAAACCCGCAGCGCTCCGCTCCGCACCCGCGGGGAGCCGGGAAGGGCGTCGGGGCAGCAGGGAGAGGAAGCGCTGCTGGAATCATCTCGCTCGGCGATGTTGTTTTGATAACTTGGGTTTTGATCTCGAGCCTGTCGTTTCGCCTGTTGGACGTGGCTGCTGCGTGTCCCAGAACCCCTCGGGGTTCCTGTTCGTGATGGCAATTTAATCTTTTAACGTGCCATGTCTTTCCTAGCCTTGCCTTTAACTTTGGTCAAACTGGCTTTTAGCCCTCTGAAGTGACTGGGCTGGCTGCTGTGCTGGGGTCTGATCGCTGGCAATAACAAAATTTGTTCAAAAATGCAAAGGCCACCAGTTTTTCAATGCCATTTAGTTTTGTTGAGCGGCTTCCAAACTTTTTAACTACCATCTTTAAGGCCAAGAAGTTTTTTTTTTTTAAGCTGGTACTGTCGAATGAGGATATCTGTTCTCCGCTTTGCGATACTTTTTACTCGAGCGCTTTGGCAGCGGTGAGAAGGGCGCGTTCATCGGGCGATCGGGGAGCTCTTCCCGGTGAGTGCGGTTTCCTGCAAAGCCAACGTCACCTCCTCGTGCACCCGTAGGCGGTCACACCGAGCCCGTTAGCTTCTGTGCGTACTCGTCTGGGGATAACCTAATAACATGCGACTGCGGCAATGCTGCGCCCAATGCAGGAGGTGACTGGACGTACTACCTAGCTAGAATTTCTTTTCATCAGTCCTTACGTTTCTTGCAAGACGGGAACTTCTCTTTTTTTTTTTTTTTTTAAAAAAAAAAAAGGCAAACATACTTTTATACAAAACCACTCAAAAAAATCCCGTCAGTATCTGATATCAGCTACACGATCTTGTTATTAATTTATCCTCTATTTGAATTCTCGGTCTGTGTGTCACTTTTTACAGTGAAACTTTTAAATGACGCTGTATTCGCAGTCAACAAGGTGCACAACAGTTTGTATCTGCAGGGCAACGTGCGTTCATATTTGGTTCGATTCGTTTCTGTTGGGGCACTGCATCCTGTCCTGCGTCCTCTTTACGCTGCGTATGGCTTATGCAAGCAGTCTGCTTCGGGCTGGATGTAGGCGTAGCTGGTTTGGGTTTGTTTCTCGGGGAATGAGTAGTTTATGTGGTTTGCAGCCCGGGTCTTCCCAACTTTCTCGACTCTCGAGCGGAGCTTGGGGCTCTGCAGCATCTGAGGCCCCAAAATAGGAACGCTTTTGCATTTGCAAATCAAAAACAAAAAAAAAATCTTGATAAGATCATGAATTTGTAACAGATATTCAAATTCCTAAATTTTTTTTTTGTATAAAAAGATGATTTCTTCTAGCCTAGGTGCGGATTGTGTTTTTAAACGCAGGAACAAACACAGTTGCATTATAAAAAAACCAAAAGCATGTGTAAATAGATAATTATATAGAGAAAGCAATAGCTTTTAATTAGTGTGACTTCTACATGGTGGAATAGGAGGGCAAGACGAAAAGTGCTTCTGGTCAGTTGATCTTATCAGGATTTCATTCTGTCTTTGTAGTTTGCATGGATATTGCCACCCTTTGCTCTGTTGAAAGCCGGCATATGTACCGCATAGACTTTATTCACGCTTTCCTGTTCCTTTATGCTTTCGGCATGCAAGGTGCTTCCAAAATGCAAAATTATTTTTCTGTATGTGAGAGGCAGCTGGGAAGTTATTTTTGCTGTATACAAATGTTTGTCTCTTAAATCGACCTGTGTTTGTGCAGCTGCTTAATCTGCTGTGTTTTATCTGTGGATTTCATTCTCCCTCTTGCTCAGAGTAATGCCACAGCCGGTACGTAAGGAAATCCTGCTTCTAAAGCATTTTCCATTACAGTGCAGAAGATACTCTGCTTCTTCCCAAGATCCCATGATTAAGTTTGAAAGCTTTGACATATATAATTAAGGAGAGATCAGTATATCGACAGCATATAAATCTAGGTTTTAAAGCAAGATTAAGACGTGGGCATTCAAAGCTGATAACCTCCGTTACGTACTCTGTTTTGTGAAACGTTACGGTGTAGTATGTTGCATGAGGCAAAACGAGGGCGGTATGTATATATGCTGTTTGCAGGAGCGCATATGGAAGTGGTTTGCTGCCATCAGAAAGGACACTTCCTTATGTCTGCGGTCTGACCTGATCGCAGGGCTAATCTCTGTCGCTTCACTCTCCTCGCATGCCGTTTCCTGAAGCAATATCCAAAGAATTTAGGAGAAGCCCAAGAGGCTGGGCGCCGTAACGAACAGAAATTTTGCAGGTAATCTGTCTGTAACGTCGAAGCCGGGGATTGGCCAAGACCTGGGAGGAGCGTTGGAAGGGTCACTTCCTGCAGCGATGCAAAAACGAGCACGTATTTGTTTCTGCCTGAAGCAGTTACAGTTCTTCAAATAGTTCTGAACTGTGCCATTAGGTGAGGTCAATTAGGGTGAAAACTGCTGGTCTGCAGAAAATGCTTTATACCGGATACCCCACAGGCCCCCGAAAACCTCACACTGTAAGTCCAAGACCCGGTTCTTTGCTTGCCCAGAGAATCTTCTCAACAGAAATTGATGCGGGGGTTTCTGTTCACCTTAATACCGCCCTCAAAATTAAAACAACAGCTGACAGCAACGGGCTTGCCACACTTTTAGGAAAATTTAATCACTGTTTATGATTTTGGACATGCAGATGCAGGACTGTTTTTATCCAAAGTTACTAGACATCAACACCGAGGGTGTCAGTTGAGAAGAAATAGTAATAGCGTTAAGGGGCATCCTGAGTTTTTTCCCTCCTTGTGACCTGCCACCAGGTGAGGTGGCAGCTTTGATATGTCTAAAATTGCAGCTGCCAGAAACTGCTTATCCTGCCCTTCCTTTCTGGCAGGAGAGAAACAGCGTTTCGAGGACAGGATGGGATTGTGGCCTTAGTTCACAGCTCCCGACTAAAGCATTGCTCCTCTCCAGGAATAACTGTGTGTATTAAGTGTCCATCCCTTGCTGGGCATTTGGGCAAACTGTGGATTTTTGCTGAAGCTTTCTGCCTTGTTCATGTCTTAACTCTTCTCTTCTGTCGCTGTTCCTTTCCTTCAAGTTTCGGGCTAGAGGGCTCCCAGAGCTGTGAGACGACCTAGCTGAGAACTTGCTGACGAGCTGAACGGAGGGCAGACTAGCAGCAGCCTTAGTTAAACCCTCCGGCTTGGCACAGTCTTCCCGAGTGTCCCAGGTGCCATAGACACGCTTGCTTTCTTCTCTGAAGGCTTTATCACGTGTCTTCTCAACAGCGGGCTGCCGCAAACGTCGGTTCTGTTGTGCCTCCGGGAGGTTTAGCCACTGGGAAGGTTTCTGTGCTCCGACTGCTTTTGCACTAACATACGTTACAAGTATTTCGGTAGTTTGGAATAAACGGTCCAACGTGGTGGTTGAGCGGGAAAGTGCATGCCCAGCGATGATGGGGTCAGCACACGTTAGCACCACATTGTGTTATTCCTCAGCTGAAAAGTTCTGTGCTGAGTTGTGCGAGTTGATTGAGCTGGTTTGTCGGGAAGAAAGAGTGCAAAGTCTTTCACATGACCAGACCGCATCGTATTTGGCGGCTTCTTCCAATTCAGGAGCCTCTTGGTAATTGAAAGAGTTGATTTTGATACTAACTTGTGCATATTCTCACAATAATTTTACCAGTGCCGTTATGACCTTTTGCAGACACGTCCGTGGTTAGCTTTCCTGGAGACTGCAGCAAGAAGGAAGGGTCTCGGAGGTGCACGTTCCCAGGTGCTAGGACGTAGGCTCTTGGGATTCGTAGCGCACAGTAATTCTGGGCTTATTCTCTTAACTTCCACGTGCAGATTAAAACACCGAGTAAAACGTTTTAAGGAATTAAAGGCAGAATTGGTGTACAGTTTTGGCATAGTCGGTGGGTTTTGCTGCACACGGGCTTCTGCATGTGCGCACAAGTCCCCACTTGCTACGCTGAAATTATTCCTCCGTTTCCAAACTGGGCCAAAAGCGTTAAACGGCAGTTCTTCATTTAAGTGGAGAGAGTTGTTTAATTCTTTAAACCTTCCGAACAGGGATTATTAATCTAGCGTGAAGACTGTGGTAGGAAAACCGCTGGATACATTGCATAGCACAAAGGTTTTCAAGCTTTAAAATGTTCAAATCCACTGCTGTTGCATGAACTACTGGAGACGTGATATATTCTAAGAGACCGATGTTGTTTTGTCTTTATGCTTCATGACCTTCTGTTCTTCCTAACTCTCTCTCTTTCTCTCTCTCTCTCTCTCTGGCCTTTTTGTGTATTCGTTTCTTTTTAGAGTAAGAGTGACTTTCTCTCCAAAGAGGATGTGGCTGCAGTGCCAGAGAGGAAAAGTGTTAACCCTGCCTTTCAATGGGAGGGCCCAAAGCAGTCAGTAGCTTTTAGTGAGACCCAAATGTCACCTGCCTCAGAGCCTGCTCCAAGTCGGGACTTTGGCGCGTCCTCCGTAAGCAGCGAGGAGGAGGCGGCTGCTTCCAGCCTCCCCGAGAGCGCGGAGGACCTGAGATGGGACAAGGGGGGTTTTGCAGCTGCGGAAAAGCAGGCGGCCGACTCAGAGCGATCTGAGCCGGAGCGCCTGGTAATCCCCGCTGCGCCTCCGCCGCAGCCCTGGGGAAGAGAGGAGGTGGCAGAGGCTGGCGACGACAGATTGGCGCGAGAAGCGTTTAGAAAGCTAAATGGAGTGTGTCGCGGCTTGAAGGTTAATAATGGGCTTCCAGCAGTCTTTCGCTGCTTCCAGGTAGTGAGCCAGAACGCCTGCGCTCTTCCACACTCCCCCTGTTTGGCTTTGGAGTGGACCCCAAACACTGCAGCAAGCAGATGCCACAACCCCCCGAACGAGGAGTTACGGTTCCTTGGCTTGAACTCGTTCGTGGAGCTAATTAGCTTAGGCTCCAACGGCGTGGGATTTCAGTGCTGTGCCTTAAGGTGTTTGCCGTCTCGCGCTGTACTGCGAGGCCGAGCCTTGGTGCAGCAGAGCAAATTTGGACACCGCCAACGTGGGCTTTGACGTCCCCTTGTGCTCCCCGCCACGGGAGATACTTTTTTTTTGCCTGCTTCAGTGTTCCTGAATATTAATTGCTTACATGCCTATAGATGTCCACTTACCCTGCTAACAATCACGGTGGCATCTGTCAGGTTTGGGAAGGTGAGCAGAAATCGAGCAATCTGGGAGAACCTTGTGGGTCTGAACTAACTCCGTCCTCTTCTGGATGATCATCAGGTGGTGGAACAACTGATTTTTCTTCCCCTCCCCCCCCCCCCGCCCCGTTTCTCTTTCAAGATGTAATGTTTCTGTTTTGTCTGACATTGATTTAATAAAAGTTACAGGCCTAGGATTTGATGAGTTTTTTTTAATCTTGGATAGCGTGTTCCACTTGTAGTCAGGAAAAAAGCTTCTCTCAGCTGTGATTAACTCTATTTATCCAGACTCTGTTACTCCTGACATATCAGTAAATGAGGGTCATCTTTTACTGGCAGCTCTCATTGAGCTTCTAGTAATTAGAGAGTTGATAATCAGTGGAGACAGTTTCCTCATGGTATTCTGGCACAGCATTTAAACCCTGGATGCCTTTGCTGGTCTGACTTGAGATCACAGTGTTTGGGAAGATCTAGAGGATTCTGCTGTCTTTCCTTAATCCTCACACCTGATCTTTGACCTCTGAAAAGTGTGTCATACCAGAGGCTTGAAAACAAAGATTTCCAGGCTGACCTTGCTTCCCGTAGTGCTTTTATCAGATCAGTGTCAGATCGTTTGCCAGCAACGCAGTTGTTATGTGCCAGTGCTACCTGGGTGTTTACTGAGAGTTTTTTAAACCTGTTTCATAGCCACCTCTAGTGAAGACGCAGACAGTCACCATCTCGGACGTATCCAATGCTGTGAAAAGTGAAATTCCAACAAAAGAAGTTCCCATTGTCCACACGGAAACTAAGACCATCACCTATGAAGCTGCACAGGTAAGGTGTGTTACGATTAATTTTCAGGGGGCTTAATTAAACTGATCCAAGCACAAGTGTTTGCTTTCTAAATCTTTGGAATGAGACAGCAGTGCCATCTGGCACCATCTGCCTTTCTCAGACTCTCCACTTCGCAGCACAAAAGTTAACAAATGTTGTGTTATTAACAAATATTTGCAGGTGCATCTAATATTTTTAGAATAGCAGTGTTTATAATATCCCCGAAGAACAATTGCCTTTTCAAGATGTGTGTGCAAACAGAATTGACGTGCAGCCGCTGGTGGCTCTAGGATGTAGATTAGACCATACAGAGTTGATCTGACTTGGCTTTTTTTTTTTTTTTTTTTGCAAGAGATGCATTATCTTGTTTTTTCCCAGTTCTTCCTGTTTGTGGCTCTTGAGAACTTTATTAGTTAACGAGTTTGAAAACTTTGTTCTGAGGGTAGTCCGCTAGAATACTACTCTGAAACAGAAGTCGAAAACCAAAAATACTCTATAAAATGCTAATCAGAATGGGTACCTGTGAGGTATTTGAAGCTATAAATTAAAATGTTAGTGGAGCAATGCCAACATACGCAGGTCAGGTTTCATTACTGAGGCTAAAATCAATCTTTGATCTAAAATCAGATTTTAATTCCATATTGGAGAATTTGGATCCTTTGTTAGTTTGGGTTTGTCAGAACAGCGATTATTAAAAGCAGCCCATACTCTGGTTTTGGAGTGTTAACGACTGAAGGATGTGACTGGTGTTGCAGCTCAGCTTCAGATAGCCTGCGCCCCACGCTTGGATAATATGGGATTCCTGAGCAGGATTAATATTGTCACGCTGATCCTGAGGCCCAGCTGTGCTGAGGAATAAAACACGGCTGGGAACACAGAATTTCATTAGAGTCTGCGGCGTATTGCGTGCCTTGTGCTGAACAGCAGCAGCTGGCACCTTGGGAAGATCCAGCTCTCTCGGGATGCCTGAAGAGGTGTCTGGCTTCAGCAAGCAGGTTCGAAAATTGTGCTCTTAACGTGTTCAAAAGCTTCCCAGCCCTAACGTGGAAAAAAGTATGACGCTGATACCGTTTACACTTCCCAATAGTCCTGATGTTCCTGGGGAATATATCTACCACCAGTGGCTGCTTAGCATCTTCTCTGACATCTGAGGGTAGAGCATGCACCAGGGAAGAGCGCGTGCTACCCTGTTGCCCAACGTAGATGAAGAGGAGAGTTCTCTTTTCAAGAGAAATGAAAGCTAAAAGTGATTCTCTAGGACAGGGTGAAGTCAGTTGTGTGTACGCCAGGATAGGATGTACCATAAAATTGCCGTGGAAACTGGTCCCACCTTGAGGTAACACCAGATTAGGGTCTTGCTGCAGTGCTGGTCCCGGTCCGAGGCCTTTGTCCAGTGTTTGTTACTGTGGTATCATCCCTCACATCGTCTTTGCTTGTACTAAGGTGACACATGGACAGCAAAGCCAGGCTAAACTGGCAAAGACAATTTATTTTAAGTTTCTAGGCAGACCTTCAAAGGCTGAGTTGTGCAGGATGCCAACCAAGTAACCAACTGGAGAAACTTGTTTCTAGTTCAGCAGATATCTGGACTTCCCTCGTTGCTGAGGAGTTTAAGGCAAGTGCTGTACAAGGAAGGAGGAAGGATAAAAAAGACCGTCCAAAAGAAACTTTGCTTGGAATTGCAAACAGATGTCAAGTAGCTCAGACTGCTTTGCGCTCTGTGACGAGCAGCCCCCGTTACTGTCCGCGCCGCGTACAGAGACTGATGGCCGTGTTTTGTGTCTCCCACAGACGGATGGCGGCAACGGAGACTTGGAGCCCGGCATCCTGCTGACTGCTCAGACCATCACCTCCGAAACCACCAGCAGCACCACCACCACGCAGATCACCAAGGTAACGGGAAACCTCACAAAATCGGAAAGTTGTGTCGATGCTCTGAAATGGGTCTGATGCGGAGTCCCTGCGGGGGCTGAAGACTTGGCGAAGGAGTCTTTTCCCTTCTGCTCCTTAGCCTTTCTCGGGCCCCCTAATTTCTTGGCTATTCTGAAGCGATAGTATGGTGCCCCTTGGAAATCCTCATCTCGACAGGTTCATGTTGGTCTAGCAGTAGCTCAGAGTCTGCTGGTGCCTGTTTGCAAATAGTTGCTTAATTTGTTGTTACAGGACTTTGTGGATTTTTTTTTTTTTTGAAATCTTATGTAATGTGCAAAAGAGAAATCTCAACTTGCCTGTAAACCGGAAGAAAAGTATAATTTAGTTCAGGATTACAATGCAGGCCTTTAATTCTCTAATTGATGCCTGTCAAGGTGCGGTAGTTAGCAAATGTGGTTGTGGGTGCTCTCAAAATGACTCCCCCGTGCATACGGGCTGGGGTGAGGGAGGTTTAAGGCTGAGTTGAGCAACAGAACAAAGCTTGAATCCCAGTTCCCTTCAAAAAACGTGACTCATACTGGAAACAAAGCGTGAAGGGCCTGGATTTGCCCATATTGAATGAAGACTCTGGATTAGGCAGTAAGTGGAGTGAGTCCTGTGGTAGTTGTCACCAACTGGCCTGTGGGACAGCAGGAAAGAAACGCACTGCGACTTATGAAACTCTTCACTGGCTGTGTTTTATGAAAAGATCATTGAATATTTGACTGTCTTCCTTTACAGTCAGTGGCAGTTTTCCTCCGTGATTCTGATAATTCAGATATGAGAGCAATATTTGGTAACTCTACTTTTGGATGTCGTCTTTGGACAGGCAGCCCCAATGCGCCTTAATTACTCTTCACTTAGAGACTAACCGTAGTTTTCCCTTTGTACTAGACTGTAAAAGGTGGCATATCAGAGACACGGATTGAAAAGAGGATTGTCATCACGGGAGATGCAGATGTAGACCACGACCAGGTAGGGGTTTGGGTACTGTCCAAAAGAGCTCTTCAGAGCTGGCACAACGAACTGGACAGTCAGCCTGCCTCTCCGAAGATTTAATCAGAAAACAACTTAGGGAAGTTCTGTTGGGCTAGAAGTAAAACGTCATGCCTTTATGGAAGATGTGATTTTATTCACTTTTAATATTCCATCTGCAGATGGTAGTCAGCCTCATTTTAGGTTTATGTCTAAAAGAAGTGGCAGAGAACCAGTGTAACCACCCCAAGGGAAGGGGTGGTTACATCTTATTAATTCTCTCTGACTTTTCACTGTGTATGTACCTAATGGATTTCAGTAATAAATGCCTTTTGCACAGTGTGCACATTGTATAGCTGGGCCAGGGTAGCTTAATTCTCTTCTGACACTGGTATTAGCAACAAAGTTTGGATTCCGGAATTGGTTTGGACAAATCCAATTTTTTTTTTTTTTTAATCTACAAAAATGTGATATAAAAGTATCCAGACATTGATGTCTGGATGACCTGCAGTTAACTTTGAAGCTGTATTGCTGCAATATAATGCCAGAAATCATTTCCTAGCACTCAGCACCGCCAGTGTTTACCACTGGAAAGGAAATGCCTGCAGTAAGCCTCACAGTCTTTGTACGAAAGCCGTTCTGATGAGTCAGCCTCTCTGGCCTCCAGCTTGTGTGTTGGAAATGATGATTTTGTCACTGGAGAATCATACTTCCAATTTAATTTTAGTTGCAAGTATCATGGGCCTGGAGTTTACTTGTAAGAGAAGAACTAGTTTATTAATTCTGATGGAAAATATCCGAGAACACGTTTGAAATGTGCTTGTCACACTTGCTGGAATGATAAACAGGGTTTGCTGATGCTATGTAAGCTTAATTGCTCTCATCCATCTTATAGTATGGGCCAGCTGGGAGATGTGATGTATTCCCAGAAACCCAGCTTTCCTTTCAGAAATAATTTAATGCCACTGAAAGTCACTGTCTCCCCAGTACCCAGCATGTGCTGCGGTTGCACTTGGCCCACTGCTTGCCTGGGGCTCCCCACAAGCAGCCAGATTGCACGTTTCCTCTGCTTGAGCCTTACAGCCAGGCTTTAATTCACCTGGTGTCATTGTGCACGGATCCAAAATTATCAAATCGTTTGGTTCA